GAAGAATTTAGCAGAGCTGCTCACTGCATGCCAGAACATCCTGCTAACAGCACCGCATGAGATCCCCAACACGAATTGCCAAAAACAGTTATGGCAAAACTTGATACCTATATAATTGACCTTTTTTCAGATACTCGAAGAGTGGGAGAAATATTCAGATGGCAGAAATGCAGCAACTTTACATCGTCCGAAAATGACAGGTAAAAAACGTGAAACAAAGGAAGATCGCGAGAAAAAGGAACGAGAAGCGAAGAAGCAACAGGAATTAGATGATAAATACAAGAAATGGAACAAAGGCCTACGACAGATTGAAAGGGTCAGTTGCATCCCTATGGCTTTTATCTTCTAGGCGTTTGACGAACGAGACTGTTTGTGGTTGCATCATTTTAGCTTTATATCTCACGAACAAAGCGGCTTTCAGCAGTGGCTATCAGATCCAAGCAAATGCTCAAGATACCGTAAGGGAGGTAAAATTTCCTTTGGCTTCAGACAAGCAGTGTTGGTAGCAAGAGTATCAAGCAACCAAAGATTTGTGTACAAAAGTACACCTGTATAAAAACAGTGAAATACTAAAATAGATCTGTCGGTGATGAATAGGAATAAATTTTGGAAATTAATTTGTAGAAACAGTTGTAGCTATTTTTATAATTGTATTTTTTGGTTATTACACATAGATTGTGTATACCAGGCGTTACATTTTTACAATTATATCATGATAATGAGGGTATGCAGCTCAAAACAGTGTATTTTTATGCAACAAATGGGCCCATCCCGGTAACATCACTAACATGGGATGCTCACATCGACTGTCCATGGTGTTCGTGCTATAGTAGTAACAGTGCTGCTCATTCCTGCAACCATTTTTGCGCGACAGTGTTGTGGAATTTTCCGGCGTATTTTTTATATACAAAGTTTGTTGTGGGACTGTCCAACCGCACAGTGGAGCCGAGATAAGCGAGTAATTTAGTCTTAACAGCGGTAAGCCAGTGAACTGCACATGGTGAACAGAATGTTCGCAAATAATTTCGTTTAGTGCCAGAACAACTTAATGATTTTGTAGCGAGTTGAAGAACTGAACGAAATGGCGCGAGTTGCGCAAGAAGATTTCGCACGTCATGTGGACGATGAAGCAATGAATGAGTATATGAAAAAGGTAATAGTACTTTACTGAAATTCTCGGTCGGCTCTTTTATGACTTTTGAAACATTGCCAGAATTATTGTTCTGAAGAAGAGACACCATTTAAGGAGTGAGAAAATTTTGCTAAAGTAAAAGTAATCCCATTATGAATGTGCTAATGATGGGGTGGTCTTTCCACTTCAACATTTTGGGAAATCTCTCCCAGCCAGCAGCTTTTCGACGTGCAGTTTCCGGCTTTGGCACATATTTGCACTGTGGCAGTGATAAGACGTAGCTGTCAGTTTTTTTCTGGGTCATCAATCACTGCATCCACTGTTGACCAAAAATCCAATTACAGAAGCACGAAATTTATTCGGAAACGCACAAAATTAATTGCAGTGGTTGCATTGTAAGAGGTTTTTTTCGGCAGCCGATGGGTTCATACAATATGAGAGTGGCTGTAAGAAATGCATGAATCTTTTCACATTTCAGCAATTGCTTGAGAAAGATCCGATGCTCATATATATGAAGAAGAAGAAGGAAAAGACAGATTCGAAAAGTGGAGTCGGTAAGAATGTTTTCAAATTTTGAACAGCGATTTCTGTTTTGGGGTTTCCCTGTTATTGGCGTAACTGGGTTACGCTGGGACGCCGAGCACAGCTATCACAGGTCTAAGCATTCTTATTTCAAATTTTGCAAGGCTAAGGATGTGAATATATGTGTTTTTCAGTGTATCCGAAGTATACGAAAAGCTGGCCGCCAAATCGTTTCAGCATTGCACCTGGCTATAGATGGGATGGTGTAAATCGTTCCAATGGTTTTGAGGATAAAATTGCCGAGGTCGCAAATCGCAAAGCAGCACAAAACGCTGAATATTATAAAGATATTGCAAAATACGAAGTTTAGTTTTTGTCGCCTC